AGGCTGAATTGCACAAAACACATAATCGCACCGGCTAGTCTGGTGCGCGTTGCTATTTATTGTTTTTAGCTTTATGAATTGTTCGCTTGTAAAACGGTGGATGACCCCGCTTCGCCCTCTTTCCCCGCACGTTTTGCGTGAAAAATGGGCAAATTTAATTCCAAAAATCGTTTGGGAGTTCATTTTTGTATACTAAAAACGATGTCAATCGAGCCGTGGAATAAGTCAAAATACAGTGGGATTTTGACTGGGCGAGAAATGAGGGTCAGAAAGCCGTTCAAGGGAGCTGTTTTCAGGGCGAAGCGAGTGAATTCACCACCGATGCGGCAGCAGCAGCCGAACTTTCTAATGCTTGCATGCTCGATTCCAGCACCACCACCACGGCAGAGAGAATGCCATCGCATGTGTACGTAGTGCACCCGTCGCATGCTGCCGTTACCCAGATGCTCTCAATGATCATGCTTGTTATCCTCTTGTGGCTTGCCGTCATGTCCTCTGCTGCCTTTCTTGTTTGTATCTTTGCCATAGGCTATAGACTGATGAGCCGAAATGTTCGTGCTGTGTGGTCTGGCAAGTATCAGCCACGGGCAACTTGGTTCGAGCGGATTATCAGACGAATCAGGCGACTGACGAGGAGGCTGATTATGAAAATGATGAGAAGAATTATGGGGCTGTAAACTAGTGATTATGACCGGTGGAACATGAATAGCGATTGATAAATGATAGGCCTGATATGGTGGGATTCGAGAAAATGGATTAGAAAAAAACAACTGGTTCTGCTAGAAAAAAACGCAGGACAATGCTTGAGATTTTATTTGTTCCTGAGATTTTCTGGGTTTTTTTCTTTTTTTCAGTTTTATTTGCTGTGGAAAGATTTTTTTTTTCACAAATTTTCAGTTATTCATCGTTCTGCAGTCCGTTTTCGAGCTTGGAACCCAAAAGCATGCTTTCAGTGCATTTCAGGGGATTTTTTGGGTTTTTTTTTTCTTTCGCTTCGTTTGTTTTTTTTTTTTTTTTTTTTTT